AAGAGCAATGTTTTTGACAATCCTTGCTTAAAATTGAATAATCCTATGGAAATTACTAGCACTTATGATTCTTCTGAAAAGTCTTCAAAGAAAAAGAAGAAGAAGAAAGAACTTGAAACTAATAATTTGTCTACTGATGAAATAAATGAACATGATACCAGCAAGAAATTGGAAACTGAAATTATTGATAGTAATTGTAATGATTTTTCATCCAATTGTGGAATATCAAAAGATTCCAGTGAGAAAAGCAATTATGCTTTTGATAATCCTTGCTTAAAATTGAATAGTCCTACGGAACCCACTAGCTCTGATGGTTCTTTTAAGAAGTCTTCAAAGAAGAAGAAGAAAAAGGAACTTGAAACTAATAATTTGTCTACTGATGAAATAAATGAACGTGATACCAGAAAGAAATTGGAAACCGAAACTATTGATAGTAATTGTAATGATTTTTCATCCAATTGTGGAATATCAAAAGATTCCAGCGAGAAGAGCAATTATGCTTTTGATAATCCTTGCTTAAAATTGAATAGTCCTATGGAAATTACTAGCACTTATGATTCTTCTGAGAAGTCTTCAAAGAAGAAGAAGAAGAAGAAAAAAGAATTTGAAACTAATAATTTGTCTACTGATGAAATAAATGAACATGATACCAGAAAGAAATTGGAAACTGAAACTATTGATAGTAATTGTAATGATTTTTCATCCAATTGTGGAATATCAAAAAATTTGAGTGAGAAGAGCAATTATGCTTTTGATAATCCTTGTTTAAGATTGAATAGTCCTACGGAAACTACTAGCACTGATGATTCTTCTAAAAAGTCTTCAAAGAAGAAGAAGAAGAAGGATCTTAAAACTAATAATTTGTCTACCGATGAAATAAATGAACATGATACCAGAAAGAAATTGGAAACTGAAACTATTGATAGTAATTGTAGTGGTTTTTCATCCAATTATGAAATATCAAAAGATTCCAGCGAGAAGAGCAATCATGCTTTTGACAATCCATGCTTAAGATTGAATAGTCCTACGGAAACTACTACTGGTGGTTCTTCTAAAAAGTCTGCAAAGAAGAAGAGGAAGAAGACTCTTGAAACTGATAATTTGTATACTGATGAAATAAATAAACACGATACCAGAAAGAAATTGGAAACTGAAACTATTGATAGTAATTGTAATGGTTTTACAAATCCAGCTCTCGATTTGAAACCAGATCCTAAAGAAGATTGCAACGGTAAAGAATTTGAAATATCAAGAGCACAGTTTGGTTTGGAGAATTGTGGTTTAGATCTGACAGATGAAAAGTGTGATAAGAAACGCGTAACATTTAATGATCGTATCATGTTGTATGAATTCGACGAAAATTCCATCAGGAAAAAGAAAGGGAAACACACATTGGATAAATTTGAAGTTGAAAATAAAAAACATAAAAAGAAACAGAAAAAATGTGAGAGTATTACAAGTTCTGTATGCCAAGAAGATACTGAAAAGTTAGCAAAGAAAGATAAAAAGCACAAGAAATCAAAAAATAAGAATGCATTCAACGACGAAAATAATCCTAATTCTAATATAGAAATTACTGTAAATAATATTCAACAGGGAAGAGTAGAAAATGTAAAGCTTACTGATATATTTCCAGAATCTTATAAAGTGATCAGTGTCAGTAATGAGTCAGTGGGCACAACCCATAGTTCATCGAATACAAAAGTAAGAATGTCTAAAAAGATGTTGATAACACTTTTTCATAAAAATGCAATATCAGATTTTCCTGGTTCTAATATTTTTGAGATTAAAGGATACGGCACAGATGTTGAATATTAATTAATATACAATGATTTTATAAAATAAAGTATTTACAATAACAGACAGTAGATCTCTTTACGAATTTTTTCATCTGACACATGTATAATATACATGTAAATGTACACATTTTTATGTCAACAAGCCTGTCATATTGCATATTATTCAACTATTATATTTAATATAGTGTGAATTTATTTATATATTAATTTATTACATAAGAGACAATTGTATACGTGATCAAGGTATATTATTTAATATATCAAAAGCGCCATAGAAGCTACATAACTATAAAATAAATCTGTTTTTTAGGCACATGTTTGTTCAATGATGATTTTTAATAAAGATATTTTTCACATCTAAAAAATTAAAGTTTTTATTTTAGACTAGTAGGATTATTATATTCCTTGTATTCCTTATATTTTGTGTTTCTTATTAGTATATTTAAATCTTTTAAAAGATACATTCATAATATAAAAAATTTATGTAAAAAAGCATTAATAGATGTAAAGTCTTCAGTTTGTAATTATGTAACTGATTATACAACTTTTTATTTTTTTACTTTTAATTAAATAACTTTACATAACAGATGACTGTACAAACAATGAGTTTACTTATTTACATTTTATTAATGTGATTTAGAATGTCAGTCTTACAGTATATTATGCGACTATATTACGCAGCATTATCATATAAACAGTCAACATCATCTAAGCTTAGTACTTTTTCACGAATGCAAGAAATAGCTTCCAAATCGGATTCATTTAATTCTATTGCAACTTTAGGTATATAATCTTCTTCTGCTGAAAGCACGCAATATTGAAGACCTTCTAAAAGATTTTTTATCTTGCTTATGAGTTTTGGATCACATTTAAACTGCAACAAAAGAATATATTAATGATCATATAAAAATATCAATTTTGATGAGAATTTTTTCATTTTAAAAATATTTAATTTATAATACTTATTTATCAAGACACTTTTAAAATAATAATTATTATGTACCTGAAAATATTTTGTATCATTCTCTTCAAATTCTTCTACATCCTCTGCACCAATAACAATAGCATCCTCTGTGGCTTGTTCTAAATTACCTTTCTTTTCAACTATGATATTACCTATATGAGTAAACATCTTTCTGACAGAAGTGTCTGTTGTTTTTCCTCTAAAATTAAAAAAGCACATCAAGTTTTGGAATCCTACAATAATTTAACATGAATATTAGTTGTAATATTTTTACTGTACATAAGAATTGTTATCAGATATTAAATATTACTAATAAATATAAAAATAAAACTTTTGTGTAAAAAATTCTAATATAATATATATGTATAAAATAATTCAGACACTATATATATCAAAAATATGTCTATTTATTCATACCTAGTCTTTTTCAATTTGATATTAAGATTCATTTCAAACACCCTTGTGTTATCTGTTGTATAACGTATAAGCATAAAGTAACCACTTGGTCCACGTACTTCAATTATACCTGTTTGAGTCTTATTCTTTCGTGATTCCATTTTTTCAAGAAAATTTTTTATTGTTGCCACAGGCATATTTGCTTTTTTAGCTATTTCAACAAGTCTCGCTAATTGTGCATTCTCATTGAGCTTTGTACTGCCACCCTCTGAAAAGATTATTAAAATATTATTTTCTGTAGTTTTTTATAATAATTCACATATTAAGGATATTGTATTATTAATAAAATTAGATAGATCAATGCATATAAAAAATATATATATATGTATATAATTAAATATTAACTATTAATAAATATAGAAATATATTTTTATATGTATATTTTATATAAAAACAAAAAAATATAAAAGATAAATACGTCTTATAGCAACCGTCATTTGCGACGTAAAATGATGAAACAGTGTCTTTTTTTCATTATCTTTTTCTTCTTTTGTATGTTTTATGTTCATCCATTTGCTATGACCGGCGAATCTTTTGCTATCTTTAGACAAAAAATAAAGAGATCTGTTAAGTCGTAATCTATTTAATAATTGTGTCATTTTTAGAAGAGGTTATATGAACGGAAAATGACACATTCATATGCTGTTTTATCGACTGCATTTGTTGTCGATCAAGAAGCGAGGATGTACATTGTTTTAGTTTGTGTGTTAGAGAGCGCCACTTTGTCAAACGGCTACCTGACAGCCATTTTGATTTTCCTTTCTACCCTTTCTCTCGAGATGAAATGTAATAGTTCCGTGTTTGTAGCGTTTTTTACCGAAAAAAGTGATTTGTTCGAGAAAATATACATCGGGAGTGTTAAATCATGTAACCGGTGATTGTTATAGTTAATTAGTTGTACTTAATCAAGACGCACAAGCACGATTCTCTGCGATTCTTCGATTACAATTCATATTATAGAGTTTTTCTAACATTAGTCATGTTGATTTCGCGCCGTACTGAGTTTCGAGCCGGATTGCAATTGTTTCGTGTTTCTCGCATCGTTTACCGGAAAATAGTGAATTGTTCGAGATAATACGCGTCGGGAGTGTCGAATTATGTGGCGGGCGATCGTTGTAGTTTATTAATTGTATAGGATTAACGCGTGCGATCGTGATTTATCTAAATTTCGCAGTCGCGATTCTGTGTCGTAAAATGCCGTGTTCGTGTTACGTGTTTCGGGATTCATCTATGAGATTGAAAAGATCATTGAGCAGTATGAAATCGAGGTAAACAATAGCAATGAATAACAGAATATGTTATGTAGATGATCTACAGTAATCTCCTGTAATCGCATTCTCTTCTTCCTCTCCCCCCCCCCTCCTTTCTCATCTAACCTAAGCCTTTTCCCGATTTTGGCGGGAGAGAACTTGAGCAATATCTATTCTGGCTATAAAAGACAATAATTCGCTTTGATATTTATCTTACTTTTATTTTTATTTCAGTCACCGGCGAAACGCCTCTCCACTTCCCTCTAAAAAAATTGATAGAATAATTTTTAAAAGATAAAAACACGCTGATTATAAAAATACGATCAATTCCAAACAGCTATCTTATGACCAAAATACCACTGTATTTCTCATCAAATTAATTGTTAAACGTATAATGCTAGAATAAAAAATAATAAACAATTTTTCCAACAGAAATTAATTTCATCAGCAGTAGATTTTACATCATAAATTTGCGGCTGTTTTATAAAATAAGTAAATACAAATAAATACATATAAAATTCATAAAAATAAACTAAACTTTATTTAAATACTAAGATATTAAAGTTTATTATAAGACTTTTTGTCAATTTAATTATTCTAAATTAATTAACTAGAGAATTAATTAACTTTTTCTCATTTTTTCTTTCAATAAAATTGATTTTGCCAACGTCAAAAAATTTATGTAGAAATTTTGCAGCTGTTTGATGTAACCACGTCAAATACAGAAATAAGACTGCACGAAACAAAATTTATTCACATACCCTCTTTTTCTGACAGGTTAATCACTGGCGATACGACGTGGGAATCAAAGGCAATGGTGCGGCGGGCTCCGTCACACAAGTTGTGTCAAAGGAACCAGCGGCTACAAAATTAACACGATTAGGCCGTCGGGGGACTCGCTCGGGGGTAAGTAAAAAGAATGGCATCGAACGTGTCGACTAAATTTAGAAAGCCGAGGGTGAAGGCGTTTAACGAACTGGGAGAGGGTCGATACTTAGCTGGCACAATCTTTATCTTAGAGACTGCAATAAGAATTTAAAAAATGCTTGTTTAAGGTACATAATAAAATAAGTTCATTGTGATATGAGAGTAATAAGAGACGTTTGACTGTCACATTGCAGTATTTTTTTTTGTTTTTCACAAATTACTGAAATTTACAATTTACACTTTATATTAACAATTTACATTGCTAATTGCAATAGTTATTTGAATGCATTTACGTAATGAGTATGTTCAACTTGCATACACTTTTAAATGCACATATTTTACATCAATGTTTACACAGTGCTCCCTTGTGCGTGCTAATAATGGCCGTAAGTAATTTAGTACTTTACGATCTATTCAGGAATGAGTTATTGCGTTAACTTTACTTGTAATATAATGAATGAAGGTTTCGTTACAAGTTTGTCCCTGAAGTTTAATTTGCCAGAACCAATTGATTTTGGATACTATATAACTTTGTAATTAGATGTTAGTCAATTTGAATTTCAGCAAAGAAAAAATCCATGCAACATTTTTGTGGCAAATACTGTTTTATTATCATTATATGTAGCTTCATTATTTTACATTCAAACTGTGATGAGATTGAATATCATTTCATTAAGTGAATTGCGTGACAAACTTGTGTACTGTTTCTGTTATCATATTAAGGAAGTTAATTAATAGTCAAGATTGTATATATATATATATATATATATATATATATATATATGTATATATATATATGTATGTAGTCCGATCAATCATTCTCTATCTCATCAGATCGTTAGTCATTCGAGATGAGACACGAGAGCTCGACTCTGGTTACAAATCAAGCGTTTGTTTTCGCGCACTTGCCACGTAATGGAACAATATCATCCAAATTGAAATAATTAATTATTTGTCACTGTTATGTAAATAATGATTACAATTTTTGTGTTTAAAATGTATATTATTGTAAGACAATAATATAGTAATGTATGGAACAATAGTCTTTCACCCTCGGCTTCCAAATATGTATCAATCAATCAATATATAATGTGAAAACTTATTTGAAATCGAATATGATAAAAAGAAATATAAAAGAATATTTGCAATGTGAATATTTGTATGAATGTCAAGTTATGAATTAAAAAAGAAATGTATGAAATGCAAAAATGTATATAAATAAAAAGTTACGGATAATTATATAATACTTAGTTTTTATATTTTGGAAATATTTAGTAAGATAGAAAATATAAAATTCAATATATAAAATTTTTATAATGAAATACTGATGATATAGATTTCATTGTCTTTAATCACTGCTAATACTGTACAAAATATAAGTTATTTTAATGTAAAATATCCAAATCAATTACTGCAAAATATGATATGTGTAAATATTTTTTATGTGTATATCCGATAAAGCGGAATGTTAGCGATGTTAGTAGATTGATAGCAGATTTGATTAAATTTGCTGTCAATCTACTAACATTAATACACATAAAAAATATTTATACATTATATTTTGCAGTAATTGATTTTGATATTTTACATTTACATAACTTTTATATTTGGTACTAGCAATGATAAAAATGAAATCTAATATCATTAATATTTTATTATACAAAAATATTGTTTTATATATTAAATTTTATATTTTCTTTGTTACTAAAAAATATATCCAAAATATAAAAGTCAATTATCATGTAATTATCAATATTTATTACATATTTGTCTTAGAAATTTAATTTGTTAGGATTAATTGATTTTGGATTTATTATATGACTTTATAAGAGAGATTTGACATTAGTCAATCTAGGTTTTAACAAAGATAAAAATTTGATATTTATATATCTTCTTAAACATTTTGTAACTAAATCTGCCTATAATAATCGCCAGATGTATTTTTAATATATTTATATCAAAGAACCTAATTAGTTCAAACTTGAAAAAATTGACATTTATCTATCGTTAACAATTACATAATTGCAAAAAGTGCCGCTTTATGCGTGACATACTTTATAACGATGTAAATGGCATACTTTAATTCCCGCGGATCAACACGTCGTTCCATTGGTACGAAAACTTTTGAGCTTAATGACCATCTCGTGCGAATCTCTTCATCTTCTCGTTCTGATTTTTGCCGGGCCCTTTCGTCCATTTTCTTTTTCTATGTGTGCACGTCGCCGTCAGTACGTATAGGTGTACACGTCGTGTTCAATTTTATGAAGGAGAACGTGTGGGGGTGCCGACGGGGATGGCGACGTTTAATAAAGGGCGTGGGCGTGTGTATATGTGTGTGCGCTAGGGGTGCTAGTTAGCACGGCGCTTGGCGCCGACGACGACGTCGCCGTCTGGACGCGTATAGTCTCTTCTCGACGTTCTGCACCGACGACCTCGTCTTTTAAAGAACACACCGACGCGCAAACGATGCTTCTTTAAACAGCGAGCCAATGATACGAAATAAAGTAACCTGGCGTTTAGTTTGACGCGTTCATCGATACATCGCGAAAATTCCTGAAAGCTAATAACGAATTTAACGAATGAACGAATGCAGACTATCAAGATGCACGAGAGTTTGTTGTAGCATAAAAGAAAATTATAAAGTTATTTATTTCTCGAGCTTACAATTAATATATAAAATGTGAAAATATTGCATAGGTAAATTCACCGAAGTGAAAGTAAATCAGGGCGTCATGTTTTTAAATTTTTATGCAATCCCACTAAAGATTCCACTAAATACGTAATTTTTTTTATATTGTTGTGATTGTATTTTCGAGATTTGATTTGATCGTATAATCCCTTTCGCTGAAATTCTTAGTGCGTTTAATAAGTTTTCCAATTTTCAGCTCGACAAAAATATCAGATATGAATTGAATTTCCGTATCGTTATTTGAATTTTGTTTCCGCCAGCGGATGCCTGCTCGATCACCCGGTATATCTATGTTTTCAATTGAATAGGTACTATGCACACTTCTCCGGTCTTTATTAGCCGCCAGCGGTAAAGAGAGAAGGCCGGTCGGTTTGCACGTAATCCAAGTTAACATTCGGGGGATTAGAACTTCCTCCCACGCGCTCTCATTCGTATATTCTGCCCCGCTTTGGCCCGACCCTTCGCCGCAGTTCACCGTATTTAGTCAGCAGTAAAAGCTTTAATGAAAAGGATCTCGGTTTCACGAGGCACTAAAATCGGTTATATTGGCAACGAGGAGAGAGGTTCGACGAACGAACGCCCTTTATCGAACGATCACATAAATGCGCTCTTTCCTTCTCGCCTTACATCTTCTCCCCATTCCCCGCATGGTTTCTTTCTCTCGTGCATCTTGAGACCAACAAAAGTTTGGATTAAAAACACCTCGCGGAAAGTAGCGCAATCGTGCGAGGAAAGCTCGCTCGATGAAGTCCACGATAATTTAATACATCGCATATG